TTTTTGTGGATTTATATTTTGTTTGTTAATGAGCTTGGCTTTTATGGAAAAATAATCAACATTAAATAAACGAAAGGGAAACAGCCAAAATCGATCAAAATGTTGATGACTTAATCAGTTGATCACAAGTGAATGTAAAAAATGATTTTTATATTAACGATCTCAAACCAGTTTACAATAAATTTTAACTGTGCTCTGTCGAAATGATATTTTAATATATTTTAGGTACATATCGAGCCCTAACCGCCAAAATAACGTAAGCGATATTTTTTTCAAAATTTTCTTTTTGATGCAGAAATGCATCTAGATGCTCCAGGAATATTTCTGCATCAAAAAGAAAATTTTGAAAAAAATTGCGCTTACGTTATTTTGGCGGTTAGGGCTCGATATGTACCTTTGTATTCAATAAAAATTTAAATAAGAACAATTTTTTGTAAATTCATTTGAAAAATACGTTTTTGGGTAGGAAATGACATTTTTTCAGACCAAGAGGGACGTTTTCTCATGCCGAAGACCTGGCAACACTGCGTCAGCCAGACATCCAATCTGGGGTCTACCAGGTCATAGTAAGCAGCAGTAACCACTCTCATATAGCGGCCAGATTGTTTTGGAATAATCTTCATCTGCGAGTTTTTGTCGCTTCAAGAACTAGTTTCAGATACTCAACTTCACAGCAAAAAAAAAAAAGAAAAATCCATAAGGTGACTTACTTAACAGAAGTATTTAATTAAATTTGTTCCACTAATACACACAAGCAATTCAAGGCAGTATAAAAGTAAACAGACTAAAGCATGAATAATGTAATAAATAACAGAAGATACTGGTATCGAAAATACCGGCAAAGCTGCCAAAAAAAAACTCTTGACGTACTTACGCAACAACAGAATCTGTGACAGAAGTAGTATGTATGTATGTAGATAAAAGCGTGTGGTTATGGAAAAACATGTGTCACTTGCAATTAATTAAAATGTTGACATTTTGTAAGTCGCACTGTAGTAATTATGTGCAGAACCACGGATGGACAAATGCGTACATAAATAAATACACACACACATACATACATATATATGAATACAAACAGAGATGAGCACCACACGTAGAATAACTGATACAAAAGACAGAAAATGATGCTCCACCAGTCAAGTGCAGCTAGCAGATTGCGTGCCAATTCAACCATAAAAAGAGGTAGAAGAACACAGCTGTCCTTCGCTTGCGGTGGCGAGTGATTAGAGCGGAAATGTTGCCATTTGCCACATGCTTACCGCCATATAGTTATATATACGCATGTGACATAAAAGCAAACCAAGGCGAAAACATTCCAAAGCAACAACACTAAACATCCGACATGACACATTTCATTGGACAATACATTAATCCTGTAATTAATTAGCAAATTCACCTAAGAACAAGATACAATGACACAAAGGCAACAAAAGCTAACCAACAAATGAACAGCGGCATCTAAAGCAGAAATTCCTACCCAATAAACATTTGGCTTGATTAACTCAGAATTCGAAAATGTTTAAAAAACTACTATTTTTTTTTTTTAGTTTAACTTTCGACAATGAATGCGACATAGTTTGGTCCAGCAAATTAGAGGCTTCGTAATTCAATGTATTCTATCTTCATTGCAAATTTGAAATCTAGCCCATTCTCCAAGGAAAATTTTAATGTAAGAGAGAATTTATATAAAAATAGCCCATTCCTTTCTTCTTACTTGGTTCCCGTTTTTAAACCCGTTCCAAATTTATTTCCAACATACTACGAACTTTGGAATACTATTTCAGGTTGGTTATTAGCTTGTTTTCAATATGAATATCGAAGCAAATTCGCAACGTTCGCCGCAATGTTTACTGGGTAGCCATCCATATACATACACATACATACACATGTATAATCGCACACGCAAACAATCCGCTTTTGCGGGATTTCTATAATATATATATATATATCTTGTAGTTATCTACAAAAAGCTAACTTGAAACTAGTTGACAAGAAATGCAGGAGATTGATTTCTTTAAACGCGTTTCTATTTAAATATCCTGCACTTCGCAAATACTTTTTCGAATTGAGGACAAATAAAAGGGAGATCGAAATTTCATTTATTATTTTGAAGTTATGTCTGACGGAGTTCGAATATGGAACCACCATCTACAGCAGGATAAGTAAACAAATATGAATTGTAATAAAATAAATAAAAAATAAAAAAAAATTAAAAAAAAAATTAATATTTTGTTTTTCCTATTGAAAGCAGTCAGTTACAAGTTAGTTACATCAAATGCAGAGGTAACCACTCTTGACTATTTCGCGGCCATCGCCATAGAAATATAAATTAGCTTTCGTCAAAGAAAATATACAGATGTTTAATGGTGACTTTTAGCTCCTTCCTAATCAACTTAAAGTTAGCTTACAGTTAGATACATTTCCCGCAGGGAGGCGACAGCAAATCGTAGTAAGTAGTGTAAAACTTTGGTCTGACTTACTCAAAAGGGAAGAAAGATCTATAATCATGTGAAAAGTAATAGGGTCGCGATATAAGAAAAACCATAGAAGTCCAAATTTAAAACTTTGTAGAAAAATTCAAGAAAATTGTACAACAACAACAAACTTTTTTATTAATTTGTTATAATTTATTGTTATTATTTATCTAAAAATATGCAGATGATTTTTTTTATTTTCTTCCATACAAAACAAATTGTTGTTGTATGGAAGAAAATATGTGACAACGCCAAAAAAAATTTCAAAAATCAACGATATTTTTCAGACACTCCAAACTAGAAAATTACGGCTGTGAATTTGTTAATTTCTTTTTTTTTAATTTTTGTACAAAGTTAGAAATTTGGATTTCCAAGGTTTTTGTCCAATGTTGGGCGCTTCGATTCATGAAGCTTTTATGATTAGGCGAAAACATGATTATGAATCGTAATGTACAGCGCTTCGTTGAAATACATGTGTTTGGCATAAAAGCTTCAAACTTCAGAATGCCGAAACGATTAAACTACTATGATGTGGCGCTTAATGTGTGGAGTGCCTAAGCTGAAAACAACGTTCACAATTGACAAAATTATCAAATAACAACAAGCAGTTTACCAAAACGACCGAAATGGATGTCAAGACCTCTAAGGTTTTAATTTATTGAATTAATATTTGAATTGTAAATTAATTATGCAATACATAAAAGGAAGCAAGAAACTTGCAATGAAAATTTAGAATTTTGGGGGCCTGCGTACGCCCATGAATAGAGATAGTGCGAAACAAATTTTTGCGCAGTAATACATATAGAGTTTTTTGCACGAAAAAGATACGAGCGTTAAGTATGAACGATATTTTTTATGAAATTAGCAAAAACACTCAACTTGAGAAATATTGTTGAATACTGCAAACAGTGCCGGCCACTTGATTACCGTCTCCTTTTTATCTTCAACAACTTGCAATCAGAAAAACGCAAATATGTGCAAGCACGCAATGGAAAATAAAAATACGTCCGGCCGCTTTGTCCAATTATCAAACAATGTCTTTAATCTCCTTCTTTTGAAATTACAAAATGGTGGCCTCACTCATAAGTCTACGCAAAAGTACTGGCAATGTATTAGTTAGAATCTACTCTGTACACTTGGCAGCACTAAAAGTAACCCTTTACATACTACTACAGTATTGAGAGTTTTACTTTTCCTTTTATTTAATTTTCACTAAGTTTTATAAAACTATAGCTTATTCTATAACAAAGACCATGTAAATCCAAATTTTCAAGCTTTACGCAACATTTAAAAATTCAACAAATTTCAAACATTCTTAGCACTTAGCTGGCATTGACATTGTTTTAAATATATTAGAGTGCAATTTGCTCATTATTATAGTAAATAAAAAGTTTGAAATTTTAAAAGTTTAAAATTGAACGGCTTGTAGAAACTTGTTTAATTATTATAAAGTTTTAAAAACGGATTTAAGTACGTGGTTTTTATTAAAGAATATGGTATATTAAAAAAAAAAAAAAAAAACTTGATGAAGATTACAACTGAAACTGTCAACACTGAGGATCAAACAAGGGTGTCATTTAAGTGGCCGGCACTGTATGTATGAACATCCAAACACACACGCTGATGGTATCATAGAGAACACTACTACACATATGAGTTGGCGAACCACTTGCGACCAATTACATTCAATTAGGCAAAATGTTCGTGCGGTTGAGTGGCACAAATAGATTTAATCGTGGCTAATATAGTAAAAGAACAAAGGGAAATTTTTTCTTTTGATTATATGCATTAACGAACATACAAACGTATGAAAATAATTAATTAATTTTTTAAAGTTAATGAAGAATTCTTGAAGAGGACTCACCATTTCATAATTTCAGTTTTCAATGATTTTCTCTGTGTGTGCCTGCACCTGAAAAGAACCACAAATTAAATTAACTTGATTAGGTAGTCGGAATTTGGTCATTCATAGAAATATGTACATAAATTACATGAATAAATAAAATAAAAAGCATTGTTATAAGCAAAAGAGTGTTCGATTCTTATGCATGCGGATATACAGTGTGGAGCAAAAATTAAAACATGTCGATTTTTCTTAAACATTTGCAAGGTTTTTAAAGCTAAAGTTTTTTTGTTGTTGTTTTTTTTTTTATATGATTCATGCTTCAACCAAACCCATATTAAGCAAAATTTCCAACTTTTTACAAAACTTACAAAAATTCAACAAATGTACATTAAGGTGGTGAACTTTTTAATCAAAATTTTATGAAAACTTTTGTGGATTGTGGGCTCATTTTTTCTCCTCACTGCACTTATGTAAATAGGTCACATGTAGATACGGAAATTTTTTTTTTAGGTTACAGAGAAAAAGTTAGAGAAAGCTATGAGTCAAATATATAAAAACTCACATTTTACAAAAAAAAATAATAATTTTGTTCAGACAACTATCGTAAAACATTAGCACGATAAAGTTCTAGCACTTGAGCCTCAAAAAAGGAGCCAAAAGAAGAGTCGAGACATTGAAATTTTTACAAAATACTTATTACACTTTTACATGAATGAGCTAAAAACTTGGTGTGGGAAACGCTTGAACTGTACAAAACATTTTAAAGTATACTTTTGGAGAATTTCCTTTCTTGGCTATATATATATGTAATTAATCTATATTTTTAGTTTGACATAAGCTTAACAGTTTTCTGAAGCTTAAAATTGGGAACAAATTTCATAAAATCTTCCAATAAAAAAAAGATTTTAAAACTGAACTTTATTTTCATCCTATTCAAAAAACCAAAAAGGGGAATACAATTTAAAGTTTAGAAGCAGCAGTTGATTTGTTTCGAATTTTGAAGATTCCGGGCGACCGTTATTTGCTTATTAGCAAAATTTTGTGACCCATGTAACTGTGTACACTGATTAAAAATTGTTATACATATATTTTTACCGGTAAGATATGATTTACCACATATTTTCCAGCAAAATCCAATTTTCTAATTTTCTCCATCAATTAGATAATTAATAAATTATCTAATTGCAAAAACTGAACAAAAACATAAGTCATTAATTTAAATGACAGATTTACGTACATGTATGTATGTATTTATATGTAGATACATACATACATATACATATAATACCACTTGAAAAGCGTACCTTTGTTAAAAGTTACCACTTAATGATTTGCGTTTAAGCTAAGCTAAGTATTCGCATACATATGTACAAATTATGTAAGCGGCCCTAATACAAGTCAGGAGGCCAAAGATTTTTCAGGTTGTTTATAAAAGTTGTCAATACAGAAGTGACATTCATGACCACGCCTAATAAGTCAATTTTGAAATGGAAGTGAGTCGGTCGAAACGTGTAATGATTTATTCAAACCACCTAAATATATTTAGCTCATTAACAAAAGCTCATCAAACATAAGTAGCTTGTCATCTTCCCCAAAAAAAAAAACTTTTGTTACCAGCAAAACAACTTTTGCAAATGTCAATCAGGAGATAATAGTAGAAGATAAAGTTTTCAAATTTTCTCCAAGAGTACAAACACACACATACGCGTGAGCAATTTTAGAAAATTAGAAATAAAGTGCAAACAGCTTTGAACAAATTTGAGATGTTTAGTTTTGTGCAATTTTCTACTCAACTTGCTTCAAATTTTCAGACTAGCGACACTGAATGAACGGGGTACGAGTTGAAATATGAGTTAAAGGGGTCGGTCAGTTGCGCGCCTGATTGCATAGGAGGCGTGCGAAAATAAAGTCAGCGACAAGCACTTACGCCCATTTGAGTACAATTTAAAGATAACTACTTACTTATGTACATACGTACTTTGTAGGAAATCGCTTTTGTTGGCGTTACCTTTCTCGTTCATGTTTCCACTTTGTTGCACTTTTTTTGTACGCTCCAACTTGCACATAAACATTTACATGTCTGCTATCGGATAACTTCTAAACTTTGATTATGCCAAAGCAAGCGCGGCAAATGACAAGCAATAGCGAATAAGATGCCAGGGAGGCGAAAAATACCGCCACAATACTTGTAGTGTACATATCTAATTTCATTTCAAACGCAAAGGACACTAAAGAGTGAAGAGGGAGATGGGTTTGGGGTTTTCACGATGTTCCCGAAGCATATATGTATGTGTGTAAAAGTTTTGATTTTATTTCGAAATACTGAAGTTGTACTTCAGTTATTTTTAACTCACTGCCCTTTTAGTGAAAATGCTTTTTGCCCAATTTCAATGACCCACTATAGGTTTCACAAAAAAAAAACTTCAAGCAACCGCAATCAGTAGAAACACAATATTTTACTACCCTTCAAAAAAAAAAAAAAAAAAAAACAGATGATGATCCTTCTCTACTTTTTCAAAACCACAAATAAACTTTTACTATCTGCTAGCGGCTCACCGCATCGAAAATGCGCAACGATTTATAAAAATGTAATACCACTCAAAAGTGACAGCAACACGCAGCAGGATACCATGGACATGCAGCTTAATTTAATTCGCCGCTTTTTGCCAGCACCACGCTTACACCGATATCTGTGTCGAATAGGACCATTAAAGTGTTAACACCTTTTCAATACTGCCAGCGAGTGTACATAAATAATACTACGTTGTAGGCGGAAATAGGAGCGAAAAATTGGCAAGAACAAAAGTATGTTTGACTGAGGGGAAAGAGAGGAAAACGAGAGAAGAATCACAATGTCAAGTGTGCTATGACAAGAAATCGAAGGTGAAGTGGGAGGGATAAGGCGCCGAAAATAGCTATAGGGACGAAAAATAGCGGAAAAATGGAACAAGAGAAAGGAGAAGAAAAATAAGAAATGTAGAAAAGGGAAAGAAGAATTTAAAAATATTGCAAGCAAATGCTACAGCGATAAGTTGGAAAATGCTGACTATTGTTATCGCTGCTATCTACTAGCTCGCTAGCACTTTTTCTTCTTGCTGGCTGCTTGCTGCTTGTCTGAAGTGTCGTGTCATTTTTCAACTTTACATAAGACTTTGAGAGATTCTTTGAGTGGCTCACTTTACCCCTGATTGCTTTTCCAATTTGCCAAAATGTTGCCTTACACAAAAAAAAAAAAATGTATAACCCTACGTACCACATATCTACGTTTTTAACTGTATTTTATGTACCTCCTTCGTGCCATGTATTTGCGGCAGAAAAGCATTAAATTTTTTTGAATAATTATATGTACATACATACATACATATGTGCTATTTTTGAATTTAAGGTTTTTATTCTCCAGCATGGCATTCATGTTTTTCTCGCATTTTGAAGTACGTATATATTTTCATTTTAAGTGTCTGAAATAATGCCCCTAACGATAGGCTACTAAGTTTACGTATGTACATACATATGTAAGTATGTGTGTGAGTCCAAGCAACAGTCGGCCATTAGTGTAGGCAAACCATATTGTATTGCCATGATAAATAACTACAAACATACACATAAATATAATATTTAATCTGAAATACAGATTCGAAAATATTTTGCAATTCAATTAAATTAAAAGTGAGAAGCCTCAACACATATTTCATAACTTACTTACCATTTTTAATATGAATTCTGCATGCAAATATTCCACGCAATAAATAAGTCTTGCAATTTCCATGATAAATCAGTAGGCAATTACAAAATGTGTGGTAATTAAAACGAACGGGCGTACGAACAAACGAACGAATGAACTCGCATGTATGCATGTAGTAATTATTTCTGCAAGGAAACCACACGCTGAGCCAAGCTTATACCATGCAGATGAAGCGAAAAATCATTCACATACACTCACGCATATGTACATTTGTATAAATCATTCGCTTTCGCCAACACTTTGGTGGCTGCGGTCGTGTGCGAATTCCGTTGAATTTAGTAACTGCTAATACCGCTTCTGGCAATGCAGTCGAGTTCAGATGAGACCTCATTAAAATATTCTACCTACCGAGTTTAAGGAAAATTACAACAAAAAAATTTAAAATCGTTGATCGTGGTGTGGAAAAGTGCAACGATGCGTTTCATCACCGAAAATTATGAACGAAAATACTTTCAAATTTCAAGGAAACAAATTTGCATTTCATTGGTTTTAAGAATTCATCGCTTCGATTTTACAAACAAATTTCCAATGAGAAACAAGATTTTCGAAACTGCATGTTACAAATCTTTTATATAGTATACACAAATAGGCACACATATTTTCTTTACACCCCTTTTAAGTACAGCTAAACTTTACTTCTAAGAAAATAGAAAGGTATATTGAAGCTGATGTGCAGAAAATAACTCAAATTTCAAATTAGTTTAAAGTAAAGCGAAAAAATCAATCCCAAATTTACACTAAAAATAAAAATTAAAAAATAAATACAAAAATAAACATAAAGATAAAATCCGATAGAGACGAAGATAAAAAGAGAGTGATAGAGATACAAAGATAGAGACAAAGGTAAAGATAAAATTGAAGAGAGAGTTTTGTCATGTTAGATATGGTATATTATGGTACGGTATGTTGTGCTCTTTTATGTTATGTTATGTTGTGTTATGTTATATTTTGTTAGGCTAAGTTATGTTATGCAAAAAAAAATAGGAAACAGGTTTTTTCTTAACAGCGGTCGCCCCTCGGCAGGCAATGGCAAACCTCCGAGTGTATTTCTGCCATGAAAAACAG